TCAAATAAATATCTGTTGAATGGATGTATGAAAATAATTTTCAGCACAGTGTTTGTCAAAATCTCTTATTATATCCTTGGGAAATAAGAAAGATATGGCTTTGTAGCCATTTAAACATTGCATAGACAGCTAACATTGATTTCCAAATACCTTCATTTTCAAATCCAAATAATCTCTTGGGAGCTAGAACAAACCAAAGTAAGAAATGTAAAGAGGGAGACTTTCTACGTTGCTTTCCCAGTTTTAAGAGTGTCTCTAAATCACACTAACAATATTCAGGATGGTAATATTCTCCAGGGCATGGACATTTACTCTCTTAATACCATGGAAAACTTGGTAGTGGCCAGAAAGTTGGTATACATAGAAAATAAAAGATGGAGCTGTTACAGTAAAATTGAAGTTTACCAGAAAATAAAATTATAAGATTTGAATATCTAGTTGATTACTTCATATCATAAAGTTTAAAAAATCACATAACTTCAAACATCTGAAAAGTATATTACTAATGTAGAAGTTCCAAGTGTGCAAGGAAACTGATTTCTTACCTGTGAACCTCTTGTCAGTACATGTAAAAACTGAATGCCAAAAAGTCTAGCCATTTCACTGGTCTTCCCAATCACATCTAGCTGTTCTAACATTTGGAGATTTCCACGGACACGGCTAACATAATGATCAACCATTTTCCATCTGTCAAAAGAGAATCTTTGCTGTTAACATCAGGGAAAAAATTGAACACTTAAAACTAGTACTATTTTCTGCCAAAAACCTATATATTAAAAGGGAGATTACCTAAGGAGGAAGTCCTGATATGAGATGGAGTTAAACATTAGAAGATTTTGGCATTTCAATGATATCAAACCCAATAAAAATATGCGAAGTTTAAAATAATAATTTAAAGGGACAGCTACTGTCAATATTTTATGTTACACTATTTTTATTATAAAGAGCATTCTCTCTTAGATGTCACTGAATATGTAGTAATTACGTATATCTACAGGTTTTAAAGGACATAAAGACTTTGGAATATCATTGTAAATATCAGCCTACAATAAACGCATGTACTGTCTTCTCATAGGACAACATAAAAGCTCATTTGGTGAAGATTTAGAAAAATCAAGAAAATAATTTTAATAAGGTTATATATTATCAAATCAGTATTTTGTGAAAATCTGAACCTTTTCTGCTTAAACTTAAAAAAGAACCTTTAACCAGTGTTTTTTGCATAAACATAATATCCAAAAAATTAGAAACAACCCAATGTCCATCAAAGGATGACTAAATAAGTGCAATGAAATATTATTTTAAAATAAAACAAAATACTAATGTATGCCATAGCATGGATCAATCTGGAAATCATTAGGCTAAAAGAAACAAGCCATAAAAGGTCACATAGCATGTGACTGTATTTAGAGGAACTGTCTAGAATAGGCAATCATATGGGGACACAAAGCAGCTTCATGGATGCCTAGAATAGGGCTGTGGGGCTGACCTGTTAAGGGAGATGACAAATTAGAGGGTTATGATTAAGGGATACATACAGTCTTTCTTTGGGTGACAAAGAAAAAAAAAAATTTTTTTTTTTTTTTTTTTTTTTGACAGGCAGAGTGGACAGTGAGAGAGACAGACAGAGAGAAAGGTCTTCCTTTGCCGTTGGTTCACCCTCCAATGGCCGCCACGGCCGGCGCACTGCGCTGATCCGATGGCAGGAGCCAGGTACTTATCCTGGTCTCCCATGGGGTGAAGGGCCCAAGGACTTGGGCCATCCTCCACTGCACTCCCGGGCCACAGCAGAGAGCTGGCCTGGAAGAGGGGCAACCGGGACAGAATCCGGCACCACGACCGGGACTAGAACCAGGTGTGCTGGCGCCACAAGGCAGAGGATTAGCCTAGTGAGCCGTGGCGCTGGCCTAAAGAAAATATTTTAAAATTTATTGTGATAACAGTTGTACAGCTCTGTCAATATACGAAAAGCCACTGAATTGTACACTTTAGAATTGTATGTTAAGTGAATTAAAGTTATATCAAAGTGCTAAAAAGAATTAGGCAAAAACAAAAAAATCCTAAACTTTATAAACACAATTCTCTAACAAAACAAATACTCTTTTATAACTTGCACTTCTAACTTAAAATGACTAAACATTTATGTATTTTATAGCTACTGAGTATGCTATTCAATGATTATAATTTGTTGAGCCCCTGTACACTGATTATCTTTTATTATTGTAATAATAAATGATAAACATTTTTACTGGTAAGAATTTGTACAGGTGCTTAAATATTTCCTTCACATAAATCTCTAGATTTGGTCAAAGCTTCCAATATATAAGAACATGCTGCTATCCAGAATGGTCTTTTTTTTTTTAAACTTTTATTTAATAAATATAGATTTTGAAAGTACAACTTTTGGATTATAGTGGCTTTTCCCTCCATAACCTCCCTCCCATCCACAACCATCCCATCTCCCACTTCCTCTCCATCCCATTCTTCATCAAGATTCATTTTCAATTATCTTTATATACAGAAGATCAACTTAGTATATACTAAGTAAAGATTTCAACAGTTTGTACCCACACAGACACACAGAGTGTAAAGGACTTGGGCCATCTTCTATTGCTTTCCCAGGCCATAGCACAGAGTTGGAAGTGGAGGAGCTGGGACTTGAACTGGCGCCCATATGGGATGCCAGCATTGCAGGCAGTGGCCTTACCTGCTATGCCACAGCATTGGCCCCTATAGTTTTCACTATTAAGTTTAATACCAAGTTTTGTTTTATTTATTCATATATAATTTCTTCTAAGCTTCTGTTTCTAGAAAGATTTGATCATAAACTTAGCACTTTCTGTGATTTCTCTTCCATTCCCTGGAATTTCTCAAAAGGGATTGTAAGATGAGATGACATGCTTGGAAAGCAGTTTTCCTAAAATACATCAAATTGTTTTTAAGGCTATCCATTTCATCCTCACCATCTTGCAGCCTTGTAATACAAAAAGCAGAGTCACTCATTTTAAATACCAGACACATTTATTCTTTAAACAGCTATTTCTTCAGTGATTACTAGCATTATGTTTAAGTTAAAGAAAAGCAGAGGCAAAAAGTTTCCATTTTGACTGTAGTAGAATAATTGGTACTAGATTAGCCTCCCTACTGGGACAAGAGTCAGGGTAGTAGTTTTGGGGGAATGAACAATAAACAATGCAAGATTGCTTTTTAAAATTTATTTATCTGTTACTTATTTGAGAAACACATAAAAGGAAGGAAAGAAAGAAAGAAACAGAAATAAAGAAAGAGGAAAAAAAAATAGTGTGCACAAGCAAGTAATCCCCTCTGGTACATCATTTCCCAAATGCTCACACTAGCTTTGAGTGGGGCACGGGGCTAGGAATTCAGCCCAGATGTCCCACGTGAGAGGCAGAAACCCAGGTTCAGGAGCTGGAGTTGCATATCAATCCCAGGAAATGTGATACAGGATGTGGGCATTTTACCTGGTATCTTAACCATGGAGCCAAAAGTCTGTCCTAAGACTGCTTCTTGAGCGAAGCGAAACTCATGATGAGAACATCAGTTCAGTGAGGAGACAACTTCCTAAACATATGGTTAATGTGCTAGCGTCTAAGCACTTAACATGGCAGAGGCAGAGGCAGAGATTAGCCTTCAAGCAGCTCAGAGGTGCAGTCTGGTGGATCGGGCACTACAAGCAGCAGGAGTTGGGGGTTAGACGTACAGGTGGCATTCCCTATAACTGGTCCATGGCTGTGCTGAAACCGAACAGGATAAAATCACATGAGGCTTATCAGAGAGCAGCTGCTTGGGCGCTGAGTTTGGGCAGAACTAGTCAGACAGTGCTGGGCTTGGAGACCTAATAAAGCCACAGTGGATAGAGTGCATTACTTCCTGGTTAGCAAGTTCAGCATCCAGCCGTGAGCCGAGACAAATCAGGTCTTAAGGGAAACCTCTGTTCTAGTCTAAGACCTAACCTAAACAAAACTTAAAGCCAATTACTGACATTATGCACAGAGGACAGAATTTTGAGACTGAATCCTGTCAAGTTGGAGGGGCTTAGGAAACACTCCCTGTTCCAAACATGGGTCTTGCAATAAGTGACAAGCAACAGCTGTATACCACTCGGAAAGTGGCAAAAAAGCTTCCCACCCTAGATCTCCAGTTAAGAGAACAGATTGCTTTCAATGGTGTAAAAGAAAAAGCCATCTATACTCTGGGGTGGGTCAGGAAACCTGCTTGGCAGAGGTCAATTGCCACTGTAGGAAAAGCAGGATTGCTGAGAAAGTCCCATCTCTGAGTCCAAGGAGAACAGAAACTTCCAAAGAATGAGGCTGGATCAGGAGAAACCCCCTCTGCCTTCACGGTAAGTTTTGTACAGATTAACAAACCAGAGCAGTTAACTACTTTTTAAACCTGACTTTGAAAAGAAAATGTGTATATTAGAATGACTATTCATTTCTCAGCAGGAAAAATGAAGACCTGAAGAAAAGAGAACAAAGTATTTAGAGAGGTGAAAGAAAACAATAAAAACCCCACTCAACCCAAGGATGAGACAGACAGTGAAAATAGTATTCAAAAGCAGGGTGTAATAAAGACATTTTCAGATAAATAAGAGCTAAGAGAATTTTCACCAGCAGATTCATATCGGAAAAATGGGCTGGTCAGCGCCGTGGCTCACTAGGCTAATCCTCCACCTAGCGGCGCCGGCAACACCGGGTTCTAGTCCCAGTCGTGGTGCCAGATTCTGTCCCGGTTGCCCCTCTTCCAGGCCAGCTCTCTGCTGTGGCCAGGGAAGTGCAGTGGAGGATGGCCCAAGTACTTCACCCCATGGGAGACCAGGATAAGTACCTGGCTCCTGCCATCAGATCAGCGCGGTGCACCGGCCGCAGCACGCTGGCCACAGCGGCCGTTGGAGGGTGAACCAACAGCAAAGGAAGACCTTTCTCTCCCTCTCTCTCACTGTCCACTCTGCCTGTCCAAAAAAAAAAAAAAAAAAAAAGGGCAAAGATCAACTGTGTTTTAGAATGCTAATACAAACTAACCACATACCTAGCAATTCCTCTTTTAGAGAAATGAAAATGTATGTTTACACCAAGACTTGCAAAAAAACAAACAACCAGAACTGTCCATTTGCAGGTAAATGGATAAGCTGAATATAATAATAAAAATGAACAAACTACTGGTTTATGCAACACAGTTGAATTTTAAGAACCATTATGCTGAGTGGAGCCAAGATGGTGGAATAGTGAGGCTGTGCACCGATAGTCCGGGAAAAGATAGTTTAATAAAAGTGGAGTTACTGTAGCCTCAGGAAAAGGTTCAGGAAAAAATTGCAGAGGAAACTCTTCCAGATCTAGTGGATGTGACACGGAGGACATACGGGGAGAGCAAGATCACCCACTGTGTGGAAGCCGAGCCGCGGGAGCTGAGCTGCAGAGTCTGCGCAACAGCGCTGGAAGGGGAGGTGAGACAAAAACCTCAGTAACCCAAGACATTGGCGGGGAAAGGCAGAAAGAGCCTAGAGGGAACGAGGCCTGAAGCCCCACTGGGGAAAGTTCACCAGGCTGCCTGGAGGAGAGAAAAAAACGAATAAATAAAGGGAACCGGAACGGACAATAGCCTCTCTCTCCACTCACCTTACAAAGCCCAGCAAGACAAAGAGCAGGTGCCATTTTACGTATGCAAAGTGGCGCCGGCCATTAGCCAAGCAGAAAAACCTGACTCTGGTGGGGAGAAATAACAGGAGGTTAAGACCTAGGAAAGCATGGAGCTAACGAACTGAGACTGTGAAAATCTGGGGGGGGGGGGGGACGGACACACGACTCACCAAGTATACAAACTAGGTAACCTTGGCAACCTGGTGAGAGACTGCAGAGAAATTTGAGACCACACTGAGGGCTGCATAAACTCTGTGTGGTCCTAGGGGTAGAGCAGACAAATACCCACAGGGTCCAGATTTCATACACCAACTACTCTCAATTCCACTCAGCTGTGTGGAATTACTTCCCAACTGAGTCAAAAAAAAAAAAAAAAAAAAAAAGAGAGAGAGAGAGAGAACCCGAGAACGAGCAAGAGAACAATCTGGATGAGTCACCTTTGGCACACCCTTAACCCTGAAGAACCAGAGCTCTCTGGCCACACCCATCACAGCCTCTAAAGATCCATCAAAAGCAGACAGTCCACTTAATCTAGAGTCATAGTGTAACGAGAAAAAACACCACAGCAAAAAAAAAAAACAAATAATATCTCCAATATGCCAAACAACAAACGCAGAAACCAAGGTAACAAGAACAAGGAAGACACTATGACTCCCCCAAATGAAAAAGACACCCCAATTCAAGATTATGAAGATGATGAGATAGAAGAATACAAGAAGCAGATCTCAAAAAATTGATAAGAACATTAAGAAGTTCTCAAAAACAAATTATTGAACTACAGAAATCCTTAATGGACAAGATAGAGAATCTCTCTCGTGAAAATGAAATATTAAGGAGGAATCAAAATGAAATGAAACAACTAGTAGAACATGAAACTGGGATAGTGACGAGAAATCATAATGAAATGAAGAATTCAATAGAACAAATGACAAACACATTAGAGAGCCTTAAAAACAGAATGGGTGAAGCAGAAGAGAGAATATCAGACTTAGAAGACAGAGAACAGGAAAATATACTGTCAAACCAAAGAAAAGAAGAGCAAATTAGAAATCTAAAAAATATTGTCAGGAATCTACAGGATACTATTAAAAAATCCAACATTCAGGTTCTAGGAGTTCCTGAAGGCATGGAGAGGGAGAAAGGATTAGAAGGCCTTTTTAGTGAGATACTAGCAGAAAATTTCCCAGGTTTGGAGAAGGACAGAAAGATCCTAGTACAGGAAGCTCATAGAACCCCTAATAAACATGACCAAAAGAGATCCTCACCACAACACGTTGTAATTAAACTCACCACAGTGAAACAGAAAGAAAAGATCCTAAAATGTGCAAGAGAGAAACGTCAGATTACTCTCAGAGGATCTCCAATCAGACTCACAGCTGACTTCTCATCAGAAACCCTACAAGCCAGGAGGGAATGGCGAGACACAGCCCAGGTACTAAGAGAAAAAACTGCCAGCCCAGAATATTATAATCTGCAAAGCTCTCATTTGTGAATGAAGGTGAAATAAAGACCTCTCATAGCAAACAGAAATTGAATTTGTCGCCACTCGTCCAGCCCTGCAAAAGATTCTTAAAGATGTGTTACACACTGAAACACAGAAACACGGTCATCAACATGAAAGAAGGTAAAGGAAGGAAACCTCACAGCAAAAGATCAAAACATATATTAGAAAATATCTTCGGCAAATGGCAGGGCAAAGTTACTACTTATCAATAGTCACATTGAACGTTAATGGCCTGAACTGTCCAGTTAAAAGACACCAATTGGCTGATTGGGTTCAGGAACAAAACCCATCTATTTGCTGCTTACAAGAAACACATCTTACCAACAAAGATGCATACAGACTGAAAGTAAAGGGCTGGAAAAAGATATACCATGCCAACAGAAATGAAAAAAGAGCGGGCGTAGCCATCTTAATATCGGACAACATAAACTTTACCACAAAAACTGTTAGGAGAGACAAAGAGGGGCACTATATAATGATTAAGGGATCAATTCAACAGGAAGATATAATGATTATCAATGTATATGCACCTAATTACAGGGCACCTGTGGGGAGCAAACCGGACTAGACTGAGTTACTGGAATTAAGACTTATTCTATGCATCTGCTCTCCCACAATATGGCGCTGGGAGAGAAGTAAACAGCTTCCGCACAGCTGCCTCCAGTTCAACCAATAAACTGTAGGACTTGCTACTGATTGGAGGAGAGCAGCGTACTCGGCGTGTGGGCAGCCGAGTTGGGATTGGCAGAGGAGGACTATAAAGGAGGAGAGAGACGGCATGCGCCAGGAACATCTAAGGGGAACATCTGAGGGAACACCTGTGCAGCCCCCCAGAGAGCCGGCCGGCGGTGTGCCGCTCCCCTGCGGAAGTGGGGAATGTGGCCAGGGGGAACTGCCCTTCCACGGAGGTGGAAGGGATAGTAGCCAACCCGGGAAGAACCAGCAGCAAACCCGGGGAGGGCCGAGCAGACGAAAGAACAGCGCAGGGTTTAGTGTCGCTCCTCCACGAAGAGGGGGAGCGACAGGCACCAGTTTATTTAAAAGATTTGTTAAGGGACTTAAAGGGAGACTTAGACCCCAATACAATAGCACTGGGGGACTTCAATACTCCACTCTCAGAAATAGACAGATCAAGGAGATAGTAGATTTAAACAACACTATAGCCCAAATGGATCTAACAGATATCTACAGAACTTTCAATCCTACAGCTAAAGATTTTACATTCTTCTCAGAAGTACATGGAACCTTCTCTAGGATTGACCACATACTAGGCCATAAAGCAAGTCTCAGCAAATTCAAAAGAATTAGAATCATACCATGCAGCTTCTCAGACCATAAAGGAATGAAGTTGGAAATTAGCAATTCAGGAATCCCTAGAGCATACGCAAACACATGGAGATTGAACAACATGCTTCTAAATGAACAATGGGTCATAGAAGAAATTAAAAGAGAAATCAAAAATTTTCTGGAAGTAAATGAGGATAACAGCACAACATAACAAAACTTATGGGACGCAGCAAAAGCAGTGTTAAGAGGAAAGTTTATATCAATAGGTGCCTACATCAAGAAATTGTAAAGGCACCAAATAGATGAGTTTTCAACTCATCTCAAGGATCTAGAAAATCTTCAGCAAACCAGACCCAAATCTAGTAGGAGAAGAGAAATAATTAAAATCAGAGAAGAAATCAACAGGATTGAATCAAAAAAAATTACAAAAAAAAAATCAGCCAAACGAGGAGCTGGTTTTTTGAAAAAATAAACAAAATTGACACCCATTGGCCCAACTAACTAAAAAAAGAAGAGAAAAGACCCAAATCAATAAAATCAGAGATGAAAAAGGAAACGTAACAACAGACACCACAGAAATAAAAAGAATCATCAGAAATTACTACAAGGACTTGTATGCCAGCAAACAGGGAAACCTATCAGAAATGGATAGATTCCTGGACACATGCAACCTACCTAAATTGAACCAGGAAGACATCGAAAACCTAAACAGACTCATAACTGAGACAGAAATTGAAACAGTAATAAAGGCCCTCCCAACAAAGAAAAGCCCAGGACCAGATGGATTCACTGCTGAATTCTACCAGACATTTAAAGAAGAACTAATCCCATTTCTTCTCAAACTATTCAGAACAATCGAAAAAGAGGGAATCCTCCCAAATTCTTTCTATGACGCCAGCATCACCTTAATCCCTAAGCCAGAGAAAGATGCAACACTGAAAGAAAATTACAGACCAATATCCCTGATGAACATAGACGCAAAAATCCTCAATAAAATTCTGGCCAATAGAGTACAACAACACATCAGGAAAATCATCCACCCAGACCAAGTGGGATTCATCCCTGGTATGCAGGGATGATTCAATGTTCGCAAAACAATCAATGTGATACACCACATTAACAGACTACAGAAGAAAAACCATATGATTATCTCAATAGACACCGAGAAAGCATTTGATAAAACACAACACCCTTTCATGATGAAAACTCTAAGCAAACTGGGTATGGAAGGAACATTCCTCAATACAATCAAAGCAATTTATGAAAAACCCACGGCCAACATCCTATTGAATGGGGAAAAGCTGGAAGCATTTCCACTGAGATCTGGTACCAGACAGGGATGCCCACTCTCACCACTGCTATTCAATATAGTTCCGGAAGTTCTAGCCAGAGCTATTAGGCAAGAAAAAGAAATTAAAGGGATACAAATTGGGAAGGAAGAACTCAAACTATCCCTCTTTGCAGATGATATGATTCTTTAGTTAGGGGACCCAAAGAACTCTACAAAGAGACTACTGGAACTCACAGAAGAGTTTGGCAAAGTAGCAGGATATAAAATCAATGCACAAAAATCAATAGCCTTTGTATACACAGGCAATACCACGGCTGCGGAAGAACTCCTAAGATCAATCCCATTCACAATAGCTACAAATACAATCAAATACCTTGGAATAAACTTAACCAAGGACGTTAAAGATCTCTAAGATGACAATTACAAAACCTCAAAGAAAGAAATAGAGGAGGATACCAGAAAATGGAAAAATCTTCCATGCTCATAGATTGGAAGAATCAACATCATCAAAATGTCCATTCTCCCAAAAGCAATTTATACATTCAATGCAATACCAATCAAGATACCGAAGACCTTCTTCTCAGATCTGGAAAAAATGATGCTGAAATTCATATGGAGAAACAGGAGACCTCGAATAGCTAAAGCAATCTTGTACAACAAAAACAAAGCTGGAGGCATCACAATACCAGATTTCAGGACATACTACAGGGCAGTTGTAATCAAAACAGCATGGTACTGGTACAGAAACAGATTGACCAATGGAACAGAATAGAAACACCAGAAATCAATCCAAACATCTACAGCCAACTTATATTTGATCAAGGATCCAAAAACAATCCCTGGAGTAAGGACAGTCTATTCAATAAATAGTGCTGGGAAAATTGGATTTCCACGTGCAGAATCATGAAGCAAGACCCCTACCTTTCACCTTATACAAAAATTCACTCAACATGGATTAAAGACTTAAATCTACGACCCAACACCATCAAATTATTAGAGAGCATTGGAGAAACCCTGCAGATATAGGTACTGGCAAAGACTTCTTGGAAAATACCCCAGAAGCACAGGCAGTCAAAGCCAAAATTAACATTTGAGATTGCATCAAATTGAGAAGTTTCTGTACTTCAAAAGATACAATCAAGAAAGTGAAGAGGCAACCAACAGAATGGGAAAAAATATTTGCAAACTATGCAACAGATAAAGGGTTGATAACCAGAATCTACAAAGAAATCAAGAAACTCCACAAAAACAAAACCAACAACCCACTTAAGAGATGGGCCAAGGACCTCAATAGACATTTTTCAAAAGAGGAAATCCAAATGGCCAACAGACACATGAAAAAATGTTCAAGATCACTAGCAATCAGGGAAATGCAAATCAAAACCACAATGAGGTTTCACCTCACCCCAGTTAGAATGGCTCACATTCAGAAATCTACCAACAACAGATGCTGGCGAGGATGTGGGGAAAAAGGGACACCAACCCACTGTTGGTGGGAATGCAAATTGGTTAAGCCACTATGGAAGTCAGTTTGGAGATTCCTCAGGAACCTGAATATAACCCTACCATACAACCCAGCCACTCCTTGGAATTTACCCAAAGGAAATGAAATTGGCAAACAAAAAAGCTGTCTGCACATTAATGTTTATTGCAGCTCAATTCACAAGAGCTAAGACCTGGAACCAACCCAAATGCCCATCAACAGTAGACTGGATAAAGAAATTATGGGACATGAACACTATAGAATACTACACAGCAGTCAAAAACAATGAAACCCGGTCATTTGCAACAAGATGGAGGAATCTGGAACACATCATGCTGAGTGAATTAAGCCAGTCCCAAAGGGACAAATATCATATGTTCTGCCTGATCGGCAACAACTAACTGAGCACCAAAGGGGAAACCTGTTGAAGTGAAATTGACACTATGAGAAACAGTGACTTGACAGGCCCTTGTCCTGACGGCTGATGTACAACTTAATACTCTATCCCTTTTAGTATTTTTTTGGTTCTAGTACTACTGGTTGAACTCTGTAATTAACACACAATTATTCTTAGGTGTTTAAATTTTAACTGAAAAGTGATCCCTGTTAGGAATTTGGAAAACATTATGCTGAGTGAAATAAGCCAGTCCCAAAGGGACAATTATCATATGTTCTCCCTGATCGGTGACAACTAACCGAGCACCAAAAAGGAAACCCGTTAAAGTGAAATGAACACTATGAGAAACGGTGACTTGATCAGCCCTTGCCCTGACTGTTGATGAACAACTTAATACGTTATCCCTCTTAGTATTTTTTGTTTGTTTGTTCTACTTAACACTTTTGGTTGAATACTGTAATCAATACACAGTTATTCTTAAGTGTTGAAACTTAACTGAAAAGTGATCGCTGTTAAATATAAGAGTGGGAATACGAGAGGGAGAAGATGTACAATTTGGGACATGCTCAAGCTGACTTGCCCCAAACGGTAGAGTTAGAAACATACCAGGGGATTCCAATTCAATCCCATCAAGGTGGCATGTACCAGTGCCATCTCACTAGTCCCAGTGATCAATTTCTGTTCACAATTGATCAGAATGATAGGACTAAGAGTCAAAGGGATCACATAAACAAGACCAGTGTCTGCTAATACTAACCGATAGAATAAAAAAGGGAGAGAACGATCCAACATTGGAAGCGAGATACACAGCAGACTCATAGAATGGCAGATGTCTTAAGCAGCACTCTGGCCTCAGAATCAGCCCTTAAGGCATGCGGATCCAGCTGAAGAGCCCATGAGAGTATTTTAGGCATGGAAAGCCAAAACACTCTAAAGAAAAACCAAACCAAACCTAAATAAAAGATCTCCACGAGTGAGATCCCAGTAAAAAGAACGGGCTATCAAAGAAGGAGGTACCTTTCTCTGAAGGGAGGAGAGAACTTCCACTTTGACTATGACCTTGTCTAAATATGATCAGAGTTGGTGAACTCAAAAGGCTTCCATAGCCTTGGCAACTCATGACAAGAGCCTAGGGTGATTACTGATGCCATAAACAAGAGTGTCAATTTGTTAAGTCAACAACAGGAGTCACTGTGCACTTACTCCTCATGTAGGATCTCTGTCCTTAATGTGCTGTACATTGTGATTTAATGCTATAACCAGTACTCAAACAGTATTTTTCACTTTGTGTTTCTATGTGAGTGCAAACTGTTGAAATCTTCACTTAATATATGCTAAACTGATCTTCTGTATATAAAGAGAATTGAAAATGAATCTTGATGTGAATGGAAGGGGAGAGGGAGCGGGAAAGGGGAGGTTGCGGGTGGGAGGGAAGTTATGGGGGGGGGGGAGCCAATGTAATCCATAAGCTGTACTTTGGAAATTTATATTCATTAAATAAAAGTTAAAAAAATAAAAAATTTAAAAAACCATCATGCTGAATTTCTTCAAAGAAGTCTGACACAAAGTGAGTAGATTAATATTTTCATTTACATGAAGTTCTAGAACTGGTGGAAATAATCTATAGTAATAGAAATCCAACTAGTATTTAACTAGTTAAGGCATAAGCAAGTTGACACCAAAGCTGTACCAGAGAATTTTCTGAGTATTTGTTGTTTATCTTTTTTTTTTTTTAATATTTTTAAAAAAATTTGTTTGACAGGTAGAGTTACAGATAGTGAGAGACAGAGAGAAGGGTCTTCTAGCCACTGGTTTAGTCCTCAAATGGCTGCAATGGTCGGAGCTGAGCAGACCCAAAGCCAGGAGCCAGGAGCTTCCTGCAGGTTTCCCATGTGGGTGCAGGGGCCCAAGCACTTGGGCCATCTTCTAGTGCTTTCCCAGGCCACAACAGAGAGCTGGATCCGAAGAGGAGCAGCAGGGATTAGAACTGGCATCCATATGGGGTGCAGCAGAGCTGGCCACCTTGTTGCTTATCTTGACTGGGGTAGTTATTACAGGGTGAATTTTTTAGTCACTGAACAGTTTACTCTAAATGTCTGAATTTTATTGCATATAAATTATATCTCAATATGTGATTTTAAAAGAGAGATATTACCATCTTCAGAGTTATTAAACATTACCTGTACAGGTCTGTCTTGTTATCAAACCAATCTGACAACATTCGAAAGGTAAAGAGAGGGAAACGCTGATGAAGAATGTGAAAGCTGACATTTTCAAAGGTGTAGTTAGTTAGGGCCACCTAAGAAAAAAAGTAAGATACCATTATAACAAAATTATGTAGTAAATTTGGTTCTAAAAGATCCTGAAATCTCTTTAGATAGGAAAACTAGTTATAAAAGTGGTTTATATCACAACTGAATCATAATTAATTGAAAACTATGTACAGCCTACTACATAGAAATATTCATAATAAATTAATATTTAACTGGGAAAAAAACAGACCTAATGAGATTCAACTTGGTCATGAAACATTTATTTTATGATTTGGTAGTTCTTGTCAATTCTTTTTATACTCTATATCAATACAAATATTGATAAAAACATTGGGAAGCAAATTAACTTTTTATTCTTTCCATACTTACTTTCTGATTCTTGACTTCATGCTGATTAATGGGATTCCACAGATTCAAGAATGAGTTGTCTAGTTAAGAGGAAAACATTTTTCCTCCTTTGTGGGGAGCAACTGAGACTAGACTAAGTTACTGGAATTAAGACTTATTCTATGCATCTGCTCTCCCACAATATGGCGCTGAGAGAAAGAGACCAAACAACCTCTATGCAGCTGCCTCATCAGTTTGACAAGCTGCAGGAGCTGATCCTGCTCCTGATTGGAGGAGAGCAGCATGCTCGGTGTGTGGGTAGCAGAGTTGGGATTGGTGGAAGAGGACTATAAAGGAGGAGAGAGACAACATGCACAGGGAACATCCGGATAACATCTGAGCAGCCCCCGAGAGAGCCGGCCGGCAGTGTGCCGCTCCCCCGCGGAAGTGGGGAAAGTGGCAGGGGGAGCCGCCCCTCCACGGAGGTGGAGGGGTCGGCAGCCAACCCGGGAAGAACCAGCAGCCAACCCGGGAAGGACCAGCAGCCAACCCGGGAAGGACCAGCAGCCAACCCGGGAAGGACCAGCAGCAAACCCAGGAAGGGCCAAGCAGACAAAAGAACAGCGCAGGGTTCTGTGTTGTTCCTCCGCGAATAGGGGAGCGACACTCCTTCCCTCCCCCACCCCCCCGCCAAGAATTATGTTACTAGGATCCAATTCACAAGCATTATAGAATCATTTAATTTTATGCCAAAAGCAAAAGATAGAAAATGATAGAAACGTTTTCCCATCTTCAAAATATACAGGTAAATGTATTAATAGGAAAAGAACACTGAAAAAGGGCACAAATAAATAAAAATGCCTCTAGAAAGCAACCCAGACAATGGCAAGGGATTTCCAGGCAAAATGGAAATTAAGGAACCAGTGGTTCCCTTTCTTAGGTCAGCTTGGGATTCTGAATAATAATTCAAATAGCACTTCACATTGCAGTTACATTTTAATCTCTAAATATAATCTTTTTCATTTCTACAATCCAGAAAGTACAAAATAAAGATCAAATATTAGTTTTATCTCAGTGCAGTGATCCAAAGTGATCTTGCTTTACGTACAATTACTGCCAATCTCCAGAAAACCAGTTTTGGCATACTTAACACACACACCCCCTGGATAGGTTATGAAAAGGTGGAAAAGGTTCAAGAATGAGGTATAAAGGCAACAAGATTAGATGAGGAAAGAATGTAAAATCAGTAATAAAATGAAATCCACATTGAAAGTAGTAAGTAGCATAGTTCTACTAAAGATCAACTTAGTGATGTGGATAGTAAATCCAGAGGGCTCTTTGAAAATGCAGATACTAGGACAAAGAGAAAGAAGTTAACACTTAGCTTCTTAAAGGAAAGCCCAACACAAAAGGAACAGAAGCAATAAAAGATATAATTGGCTAGACCTTAGGTTTCTCCTCTGCAGTACCAATTACAAAAGTGAATGGCACTATATGTACTCAATGTTTAAAGGAAAAAGTCTATAGTTACTGCCAAATTTTGTATTTAGAAAGCAAAATTTATGTGGAGAAGCAAAGTTATCTTTTGAACTTTGTTCCTCCAATGATTTTGTCTTTCATTCAACTAGTCACTCACTCTCGTGACCATCCTCCAGGTAAGTGTACCCCCTCCACAGTCTCATGCATCCCATTCTTTGACCATCGTCTCTTATCCCATCTTACTCCATTCAGGGCCCTGGTCTCACTTTACTCTTTATCTAGTTTAAATTTCACAGTCACTCCCTTGTACATCATCTCTTTCTCTTGCCCCCCCCCCCTTTTTTTAAAGACTTATTTGTTTACTTGAAAGGCAGAGTTACAGAGAGGCAGAGGCAGAGTGAGACAGAGAGAGGTCTTCCATCCGCTGGTTCACTCCACAATGGCTGGAGCTGAGCCTGGAGCTTCATCTGGGTCTCCCACACGGATGCAAGGGCCCAAGGACTTGGGCCATCCTCTATTGTCTTCCCAGGCCATAGCAGAGAGCTGGTTTGGAAACGAAGAGCCCATATGGGATGCTGGCACTGCAGGCAGCAGCCTCACCCTCTAGGCCACAGTGCCTGGTCCCTCTTTTGCTTTTGTTTAAGAAAACCCTGCCTCCTAGGGTGTGTATTAATATGAAGCTAGAATGGAAAGCTGAGCCAGGATTTGAAAACAGCCACTCTGATATTGGCTGTGGGTGTCTTAAACATTGTGCCAAATCTTTCTTACATTTCAATAAAAGATACCAGGCAACTTCAAGAATATACATATTATCTGGAAAATCATAATCTTCTATTTGTCCATGAAAAAAATATTTCTCTAAATGACAGAAAAATAATGGTGTAGTTTGTTGAAATTTTTCTAACAAAAATCCTTATTTGGACCCCCAAAGCCTCACTGGATGTTGCTAGTCACTATTTCCAAAGAAGGTCTTGCCAATTTATCTTATTAATCTGGTCAGTATTTAAATACCCTTAGTTTAAGAAGTTCCTTCCTAATCTAGGCTGAATTTTTCTTACTACCATAATCAATAAGACCAATCTGAATTCATCTAGCCACAAGTGCAAAAAAAGATGAAATTATACAATATTCATCACATACAACATAATATTTTATTATAGTTATAGACTTTTCTAGGTGTTGCTATCATGCACACAAATGGAAAAATTAAAATTAATCAATACTTCAGTAGTTTTGCATTTTAGGTAGTAGTATTTTATAATTCAAGTAAATAAAATTCATTAAAAGCATAAGCTACATAGTAAGCTGCACTTTCAACATTAATTACATCATATTGATCTAGTCTCTTATCTCTAAATAAAATTTTAGATAAAGCCCCTTACCTCATTTCTCATAATTCTCCATAGATTTAGTGTAATTCGGCCAACAATATTTATCTCACTCATTGTATCTGATCCATACTCATCTCTTTCAGCTGCAAATCTGTTCTCAATCTTGTCATCTTTAGAAATGAATATAGATTGTGTCAGGGTTCACAGAAAATATTTTCAAGAAAATCATGGCAAAGAAAATGAGAATAATAGGGTAAAGATTAAATATAATTCATAGTCTATTTTATATTGGCAAGAAAATTTTTCTTAAAATAATGAAAGAATGTTGTGAGATAAAAACAACTGAAAACAAACACTCTGCTCTTTCTGTACATCACATCCAAGACCCTTACCCTCTCAATACCCAAATCTGTGTATTCTCAAACCCCTTCCAAAATGACATAGTATTTGCTTATAACATATACACATCCTTCTGAATATCTGAAATCATCTCCAGATTACCTATAATACCAAATACGATGCAAATGTTAAGTAAATAGCTAATACTTAATGTTTCGCAACTAATGATAAGAAAAAATGTCTGGGGGCCAATGCTGTGGCTCAGTGGGTTAACACCCTGGCCTGAAAAGCCGGCATCCCATATGGGTGCTGGTTCAAGACCTGGCTGCTCTACTTCCGATCCAGCTCTCTGCTATGGCCTGGGAAATCAGTAGAAGATGGACCAGGTCCTTGGGCCCCTGCACCTGCATGGGAGACCCGAAGAAGCTCTTGGCTCCTGGCTTAGGATTGGCACAGCTCTGGGCATTACGGACAATTGGGGAGTGAACCAACGGATGGAAGACTCTCTCTCTCTCTCTCTCTCTACACCTCTCCTCTCTATGCGTAACTCTGACTTTCAAATAAATAAATACATCTTTAAAAAAAAAGATAAAATGTCTGTACATGTTCAGTATAGAAGCAATTCTTTTTCTCAATATTTTCAATTGTGGTTAGTTGAATCCACAAATGTAGCCCCTACAGATACGGAGAGTAATAGAGGAGAAATTATACCCATACCCACATCCACACATACAAAATTTTCTTTCTGTTGGTTCACTCCGCAAGTAGCTATTACAGCCAGGTCTGGGCAAGGCTGAAGCCAGAATCCAGGAACTCCATCTAGATCTCCTCTGTGGGTGACAGGAGTCTAAGTACGTTAGGGTCATCTCCTACTGCTTTCCCAGCAGTGAGCTGGATCAGAAGCAAAGTAGCTGGAACTCAAACTGGTACTGCCATTTGCAGTGCTGGTGTCTCAGGCAGTGGCTTAATTCACTGTGCCACAACAGCAGCTTCCCCTGCTCCCATTTTTTAAATGATAATTTCTGGAGCTACTTTTGCAAATACCTAAAAACTACAACATTTTAAAAATTTTAGCATGAATAAAGTCCATGGTCAAACTGATCACTTCTTAGAAAAATGACAATGTTTTAATAAAACAATTCCCTGAAAAATTTGACATCAATTAATGATGTTCATATTCAAGAAGAAATTCTCCTAATTGCATATGGAGAACCAGATTAAGAGTTTCTCACAGCACAGAGTTCCGAGTCTTATTTCTTAGAAGATGATTTTACCTAGAGTAGAAAATAACACTAAGGATAGGTAAATGTCATTGACTAGAGGCTCTTGAATAACAAAATTGTTTATCACATACTAAGTGTCCATTATGTTATAGGAATTTTATATATTGCTTTTATTTTAATATGACTACTGTATGTTAGTAAA